TTATTATAGCACTTACTTCATTAACAATGTTAGGAAAACTCTGAATAAATGCTGATTGACAGTGATTGGTGACACACTCATGAGAGATTTGAGAAACAGTGTTATGTTATCACTGCATGATAATCACAGCCCTATAAATCCAATAGAAATTCAGGCATCCAAGAGAAAATATTCTAAAACACAATATTGCAGAATAAACATCTGAAATTTCATGAGGTTGGTATAATGATTGTGCTATGTCTACTGAATTTAGGGCATCACTAGGCTCCCTTCTTTGGTTTTTGTATACAATGTATCAGAAATATTTTCTCAGCCTATTAGAACCTCAGTTTCAGTTTAAAAAATAAATGCTCTAGAGTGACTAGTGAAACCAAACAAGAACCTAGCTCCATTCAGTGGTTGTTTGCTGCTGTCCAAATGAAGTAACTACCCCTCAGTGATAAATATTCTTACTTTACTCAAAAGGAAAAAAAAAGGAATGAAATATCTACTCCTGTGTCTAGAAAGATCCACCATCACACAAACACACCACAAAACTCTCCCATGATGGAAAGCTGAATAGGGGTTCCCGGGAACCAAGGGCAGGGGTGTGGATGGACTGCAGAGGAGCAGAAGGAACTTGATGAGGTTGAAAATGTACTATACCTTGAAGGTAGTGGTTTCATGGGTGTACATAATTATCAAAACTCATTAAGTTATATGCTAAATAAAATTGATTTTTTAAAAATATGCCACAACTTACGTTTTTTATGAGTTGTCAACCTCTTTTTTTCTAGAACCTTCAAGGAAGCAGCAAACCAATTTTACAGCGACTGGCTCCTTCACTGGGCTCAGTAACTAGCCCTTAGCCCTCCAGTTCAGACTGGATGTTAGCACTGACCTTTGTTCATCCACCAATACTCATTTCTAATGCAGGTGACATTTACTCATAATTGAATAAATAGTGCAGGTTCAACAACCAATAATGTTCATATTTAGGTGTAGAAGTGAAGAAGGGTCTGAAAACATATCCTTAATTTAAGAGGTGAGGATTAGAACACCTATAATGCTCTTTAATATTAAGATTCAAATGATATGTTTTGTTGTTGTTGTTGTTGTTTAGAATTTAAAACAGATTGGTCTAGTGTTCAGTAACACTCTGGGTCAAATTTGTAAAACACCTGTTCTGTCTTAGCCTATAATAAATTCAGTAGAAAATTATCAAAATGCAGCTTTATTTATAAAAATAAAATGAAAGTATATTTATTGCTCAGATTTATACCATGCCTTTCCTTCCTTCCTTCCTTCCTTCCCTCCTCCCTCCCTCCCTCCCTCCCTCCCTTCCTTCCTCCCTCCCTCCCTTCCTTCCTTCCTTCCTTCCTTCCTTCTTTCCTTTTTGCTGCTAAAACTCAAAAGCAACACCAACCATAGATAGAGGCATAGATGTCAATGTCCAATTCATTAGGTAACTTCTTTCACACAGGGGGCCCAAGTTCATTATTAGACCTTAGAATTAATGCATATTACATGTGTCAGTTTAGGAGGAACTAGATAATGAATGACTCCCTACTCTATTCCAGTACTGTCCCTCAGACCCTAGACAAACATAACTAAAATTTAGCAAAGCCATTTCCTCATTTCCTGGATGCTGACTCTTACTTTTAGTTGCTTCTTGACCAGAGTAAGGATTGCCTGATGAAGTCAGACTGCAGGAGTGCAGTCTCAGAGGCCAAAAAACCAAAAATAAAAAGACAGTAATGGAGAAAGCATTAAGCTGTCAGAAAAGAGGCACTGACTCAGGGTTTCTTTAGATTTCACTCTTTCCTTAAAACCAAAGTAAAACTTACATTAGGGCAAAGGTAGGAAGGATTAAGAAATCTGTCTCTCCTCAATTGCATGAGAAAACAGTTGATGGGTGGCGTAAGGTGATGGAAATATACACAGCATGGGATGTTGTGATGAAGCCACAGAAGGAAGTTGTGGAATTCAAATTTCCATCTAGGCAAAAATCATCTGAAACATCCTTGGCAGATAGCCACCCTGCTTCTGTGTGAACACTTCTAGGGATACAGATTCACCCTCTTGTCAAGCCATCTGGTCCTGAATTGGAAGGTTTCATCTTTAGGAAATTTTTCCTTATAGTAAACTAAAATGGATCCATCCAAGCCCTCTTTTCTAGGGTCATTTTTTCTTCTTCTTCTGAACTAATGAAAACATATTTTGGCATCTTCCTATTCAAAATATTCCTTGAAATCTTTGAAGATTATGATGATAGCCCCCAACAGTTCTCCTCTCTAGACACAAAATCTTATAGAACTTTTTAAAATGAGTTACTTTCTGATCTCTCTCCATAGCACATGACTGTTGATCAATGGCTTCTGGATCTGAACATTATTGACATTTTCTGAATTTATGGACACTCAAAGTCTCTTTGAATAATCCATTTTCAAGACATAATTTCTGTATTCCATATAAGAGGAATAGATTAATCCCTGTGAAATTCTCATCTTGTTAGCAGTTTCTGCCTGTCAAGCTCACTCTCATTCTCTTTGACTCAATGACTAAAATAATTCTAGTCTTGCATAGTATGCCAGCTTAAAAATCCATTCCTTTATCTTTCTCTTTTAAGTCACTGATAAAAGTGATGAAGGAGAAAACCAAACACAGAGCCAGTCTCAATGAATTGCAGTAAAGAAAAAGACTACTGAAGGACTTGAGGTAGGAGGATAATGATTTGGGTCTGTAACTCTGACACGGGTCAGTCAACTCTATAACCTTGCAGGGGGTTCTCTAAGGCTGTTTCTTCATCAGCACAATGATATAAATACCATTTCATAGGATGGAGAATATTAACAATGCATCCTACACATAGTACATGCTCAATAAATGTGTTCGAGTGGATGATATGCACTTGGTAAAGAGTGAAAGATCATAAAAGAATAATGCAATAAACTTGTCTCTAGTTTTTTGATCTAAATGTAAGTTAAATGCATAAGGACAATTAGATACTTTTAGAAGCTTCATTTCAGGTTAGTTACCAAGATAACAATTAGTAAAACAATATTGTAGTTTCTCTTTTTGCAAACATCCTGCCTTTTTCTTTTTTTATTTACCTGCTAAACAATCAGATTTGATTTTTTTTCATAGTTCTTACTTTGTAACATCTCTTAATTAGCATTGTTCTCTGCCTTCTCTCCAGGCCATCAGGTGTTCCTGATGGTGAAACATGTTAGAATGTGCTGTTTCCTGAGCAGGGAATGGTCTGATTCATTGTGATTTGATCTGACATCCAAGTTCTTTCTATTCTGGCCTCAGCTACCACCATCTCTCTCTCTCTCTCTCTCTCTCTCTCTCTCTCTCTCTCTCTCTCACACACACACACACACACACACACACACACACACTTCCTCATATATATATATATGTGTATATATATATATATATATATATATATATCACACACACACACACACACATACACCCTAGACCTCTTTTCCTCATCTGCTGCTCCACTCACATGCTAGAAATCTAGATGTCACTGGGGCCAACATCTGTCCTCCAAGCAAATGCTCCCTCCATTTAGACTACTATATGGTATCCAAGACTTATGCAGGCCATTCCTCCCCAAAGCCTCGCACACCTAGTTTGTTTTCTGTTTTTGTTTTGTTTTGTTGTTGTTTTCCCCTCTGAGCAATAATCACTTTGACTCAGGGTGATCCACCAGACTCTGCTTTCAGGGCAGAAACTATTTTTATCCATATAACATGTTGTCTGGAACACTGCACATCTTCCAATATCTACTGAATGAACAGCTCTGAGCTAGAGACACAGGACTGGGTGCTATGGACTCGGAACAGAGTGGAAGAATGCTTTCCCTGCCAACATAGACATCCCTCTCCTCCGTTGTCCCTGCACTTCTTACTCATAGTTGGGATTACTGATTCTTTTGAATGTAGAATCAATTCACACTTCCAAAGACTGATCTGAGTCCACTGCTCAACCAATTTTTTAAAGAAGCATACGTTTTATAAGGGGACTTATCTAGCTAGCATTAGCCAGTCTGTCTACCATGAAAAAAAAAAAAAAAAAGCGAGGTGGGCCTTAGTTAACACAGAAAGCAAAGAATATTGTTTATTCAATATGCATTATCCCCACCCACCCCAGTTCTATGGAAGATAAAGCAGAGAACTTGTGCTTATTTTTTCCTTACGTTCCTAATTATTCATGGAAATATTTCCCCCACATTGTCTTATGCCTCCAATTCATCTACTACTTCTTTCAGTTGGCCTCTTTGATTTGAATCAACCAAACCACTTCTGACCAAAGGAAGGAACTACCGGGGCCAGAAAGCGCTAAAAATAAATATCAGCTTGCCCCGAATGCCCCCCAAATGTTTCCTATTACTGGAACTTCGAGCGCAAGCACATGTCTAAGACAGCAATCACATCAAATAAGGCCAGGATGACTCCCCCAATCCCCCAACCCCTGACGTCCCAATCAGCCATCACCTTCCCGACGGAAAACAAACCAGCCCCAGACGCATCCCTCCACGTGCAGCGCCCAAATAGAGTCAGGCAGGGGGTCGACAGCGGCACCTCGCAACTGTTGCCCCCCACTATTGCGCGCGCGGCTGCACCCTTAGAGGTGACTTCTGATACCTGGCAGCCGTGCCCTCCACCGAAAAGGCGGCCTCGCAGGCGGCCCAGGCGGGCCCCACGCGGCGATCGCCTTGGGGACCCCGGATGCACCCCCTCCGCGGTCCCCGGGCGGCGCCACCGATAGCCTCCCTCTTCGCCCTTGGGGCCTCGGGCGTCCGCCGCCCCGGGCTCTCGCTGCTGCCTCGGAGCCCGGGAGTCAGATTTAGTTTCACAACAAAGTGTCCCCGTCACCGCAACTCCACTGGAGGCCGGAGCTGGCGGAGCGGCCGGGCAGGGGCGGGCTCGCGGCCGCCGCGGTGCGAAGGTGGCAAAAGGGCGCGAGGGGAGGGTGGTCAGCGACCAGGGCCCGGCGGCTGGACTTACTCGTGGCACAACTTCGGCGACGCGGGGCTGAGGAACCGGTTCTTCCAAAAACAAACCGAAAATGGGTAACGGAGAGGCCGGGGCAGAGCAAAGAGGGGTTCTGGTTGGGTGTTGAGGGCAAATTTCTTCCTCTGGCTTCCAGAAATTGGAGCCAGCGGTGGCTTTTTTTTTTTTTTCTTTCTTTCTTTCTTTTTTAAAACGCGCCGATGCCTCCGGGTCGAGGGGCGCCTTTTGCGAGGCTCAGGGTGAGCAGCGACATCAAGGCCGGCGGTGGCCAGGGGAGCCCTCTTCCAGTGCCCTAAGCACCCGCCCCCACCCCAATCCCTTCTTCCTCAACCCGACTGACTCCCTTCTGCACTGGAACCGGGCGCTCAGGCTGGCTGCCCACACCCCGCGGGGTGTTTAGGACGCCAGGGCCTTGCAGCGTTTTCTAAATGAAGGCTTCAGATACTGGAGGACTGTGGGGTTGGTTTGGTAACTGTGGGGGAGCTAGGTGTGAGAGGGGGTGGTCCTGAGGGGAATGGTGGGTGGAGTGACTTAGTACTATTTTTTTTTTCTGGTGGGGAAAGTAGGATATAAAAGAATGTACAGTCATCCAGAAACGTTAAAACTTCCATCAGTGATTCAAATAAATTTTAGAAGGGTATATACTCTTAAATTTTGCAGATTGGAAAACTGAGGCAAAGAATGGGAAGTGGGTTCCCCTGAAGTAGTACTGCTTGGCTTGGACCAAAATAACTAAGACTAACCCACTGTCCTTTTTACTAAACCTTTTGCCTTTCTTTTTATCAAGGAACCCTTTGGGAGGGTATTGGGTAGGGGGATGTTTTTGTAACCCCAAAGATCCTCTGCACCTTCGATTTAATAGGGGTTAGAGATAGTCTAGATTCAACGTGGAAAGTATTCTACATTGGATGAAGAAGCCATTACAGGCCAGTAATTTGAGATGGTCCTTCTTCAGGAACTTCCTCTTACTTGATTAGGGGATCCAATCATAAGCAGTGAAAGATATGCAAATACCTTGATGATTTGCTCTTATAAGAACTCATCATTCTCAGTGAGCATCAAAATGTTGGCTCTTCTCTCCCTCAAATGAAATTCCTTTTCTGCCCCTACTCAATTATTCCCATCAAATGAGATAATGTAAGCAAAGGACCTTGGAAAGCACAAAGCACAACATGAATGCAGGTATTATTGTACACACTCTTTCAAAATCATCTAGATCACACACTTTACTGTTGTCTCTATCTATCAAAGAGTGTTGACTTGAGCTAGATACCATGAAGTCAGAACAATGAGACTTAATCCTTCACCTTCAAAGACTGAGATAAAACCAACCAACACACAGGAAATAATTAGAAATCTTACACAAAGACTGATTTTTGATCCTAATCTGTTGCATGTTTATATGTATGCAGACTCAGGAATTTTCCAAAATAAAGCATGTATATTGGTCAAGAAAAACTTTTATAGAAGTCAATGCATTGATAAGTTACATTAACCTAATAAGACCCCAATACCTTGACCAAATATTAATATTAGCCAAACTAGCCACTTGATGAGAATGCTTTGCCTTTGTAAATCTTCTGCTTATCTCTTCTACCCATTCATAAGCATAAAGAATTCTCATAGCCAAAAAATTAAATGCAGAGTCTCTTAAGGCTTAGATGATCAAAAATTTTATTTAAGAGGAGAGCAAGGGTAACTCCAAAACTACCAAATATAAGTGTCTGATAATAACAAAGACAGTCAAACTTTCTTTTGTGAAAAACTGTAAACATGGTATTTATTTGAAAATTATGTCTAAAAATCAATCCTTATAATTCAGAAGTAACATTATCTAAAATTTTTTTATGTATTAATACATCCTTCATCCTGGTGTTTCCTAAAATACAGAGACAACAAATCTCAATTCAAATATCTAACTCCCCCCCTCACTTTTTTTTTAATTTCTAGAAACATGGCATCAAACCTGGTTCAAATTTTGAACCAGTTTTCTGAATTTGAAGATATGAAAAATATTTCATTATTGCTTTGTCAGGATGATACGAGTCCTATTCACAATTTTCTCTTAAAGAAAATTATTCAAGAAGAGTACATTTCTTTTATAACAGCATACAACTTCTTCATATTCTCCAAAACAGGAGTAGCAGGAGCCAATTTATTGACTATAATGTATTCCAGACACTTGCTGGAATAAACAATGCTCTTGAGCCCCTCAGATGCACGGCCAATAGGGAGCTGTTGACTACTTGAGGTTTTTACACATCTCTCAGCCAAAATCAGAAATCCAAATCCCAAATCAATCACAGTTGCACAGTGTGGATTTATAGTCCTGCTTGGATATAGTCACATTCTGCACATTCATTATGCCACCCAAGATTGGTTTATTTTTCACATAAAATATATTAATTTTTTGGCATAAATAAAAATACAAATAAATTATTTCAATAAATTAAAATGTCTTTGCAACCCCAAGCTAAAATACAATAAGAACATATATTCATAATTATTCATTTGAGAATATATGAGAGCTTACATTCATATCTTGATGGGTATATCGATATGTTTATCTGTAATATTTTCATGTGGCTAGTACTTTTCATAAGGACATGATTATGTATTTGCTAGTTTATATTGGATTTAGGATATTCAGCAGTTTATATGTTATAAAATGCTAATCCCAACTGCTATCCTAGCCTACATTATATACAATGAAAAATGTCAAACATTTTTGCACATGAAGGCACAGAATTTGCTCAAGTGTACAGTTATATTCTGACTTATGGCATAAACACAGAACACATGTGACCAAATGCACATTTAAAAGTAGGTCCTATTCAGATATTGATTTCAAATGCAGATCTTTAGAAAATAAAGGACAGAAGTCAATAGGAGCTCTGTAACTATTTGAGCATTTGTGTTCTGTCTGCACTGACAAGTTAGATATGTTGTAGCCAATGCTGATTCAAAAGAAATCTGTCTCTTATTCTCTTCCCTTCCTCTCTCTTATACACATGCGTTTTGAAAAATCCCCCTTTTTAGTATGACAATGTAATTACATATAGAAAACTTTGCCAAATACGCCTAATTAGAGTTTTCCATAAAAAGGAGGATGAAGATCTATCCCACTAACTTAGATATCCATTTATTCTTGAAAATCAGCAAAAAGAATACTGGATCATATGGGAATAGCCAAGAGTAAAGCCAACTATTCTGGTGTAAGCCAGTAATTTTCTTTTTACAGGAACAATTCAATGAAACTTTTAAGAGACCATTTTTCTCCTTTTTGCTTCAACAGTGGGATTTTTTATTTCAGTTAGACACATTACTTAATGTGGTTAAGAGTCATATTAACTCTTAGTATAGAGGACATATGGTTAGGAGAATTAATTGAAGGCACTGGAATAATAATACCAACAGAAGTTATGCATGACACTAAAGACACATTTGTAAGCCCCAGGACATTTATATTATAAATAAGTGTATATAGTCGAGTATATAGTTAGTCTAGTATATAGTTAGTCTACTGAAATACCCTGTAATCTAAAAAATAATTCTATAGCTATTGATCCCCTAAAATAGTATCTGTGAAATAAAGCAAGGAGAAGTTTACTCATAAATAGAAACTTATTATACAAGTGACAAATTTTACATCCAATTACTTATTAATATATTAGGATTGGTTTTTCTAAACCAGCTATTATTGAATAACATTAAGAAATACATTTTGGGGGCTGGGGATATAGCTCAGTTGATAGAGTGCTTGCCTCACTTGCACAAGGCCCTGGGTTCAACCCCCAGTACCACTCACACAGAAAGAAAGAAAAGAAAAGAAAAGAAAGAGATTTTCCCTTTTCCCTAATTGAAAACTTCTAGAGGACATCACTAGATCTTTAATCATAGCAAGGATTCTGCAGGTGTACAGTTAAAAGATCTTATAGGGAACAAATTTACTTTGTATTTATGCACTTTTAAATTAGAAGAAGGTCAAGTGAGGGATGCAAAAGTAAGATTCTTGGCCAGATTTCTACCAAAGCAAAGAGGTTAATTTTCATCTGATATTTCTACCCATATTCCATATCTCATGGGATAGCTATATCCCTACTATGGGATAATCTCCTCTATGTTTGATTAATTTAAAAAAATACTGTTCTATTGAGCTTTCACTTTTAGATGAATCTTCCAAAGTTATTGAAATTTAGTGTTTCTGCATATTTAACCTAATTTGCTTAATTTTTTGTTTATTGAGTTTCTCTCTTGGCATATATAAAAATGTGTATGCTTTTCATTGTCAACTGCTGGTACAGGTAGACCTCTTCTGAGCTTCCAGTTTATTTTTGTCCAGATAATTCTACTTATTAAGATATGTCATTTGTGTGCTAGCCTTACCTCAGTAAAGAGATGACATCTAACATGTGCTTTGGGGGAATATGATTCCTCAATGTGGTAGTCACATGTTTCCTTATTTCCCACCAAAAGGCAATGGTTTGATTGTTCCTTTTTAAAATTTTCTATTGTTGTATGACAAATAAGCATGATATATTATTCTGTCTCTCAAATATACTTTTTAAAAAAGTAGCACCTCTTCCTTCAAGAATAAAATTTCAGGTGAACTTTAAAAAATATCCAACATATTGCTCTTCCAGTGTGGTGTAGAAGAGAATTGGGCACTCCATTGGCAAACCCTAATGGCCAACAAAGCAGAGATGCTTAGAGGTTTGATTCATGAAAATTATGGAGTTGGACCTCAAGTTTATGACATTTAGATTTTATTTCCCTAGACATAGTACTTATACTTATCTAGGTTCAATCTCATTTGCTATTTCCTGACCATGCTTTTGGCAGATAGCTGATAGTACTTTTGTTGACTTTGGTTTACAATTGTAAATTACTATTAAACTTTTTTTAAAAAAATCTGTTTCATTCTGTGAGTATTGTCATCATGCAAAATAAACTAAATAGGTATCAACTTATTGCAGATATCCCAGAATATGAAAGCTTGGGTTCATTGAAATGATGTGACATAAAGGGTTTGCACTACAAAAACAGATTGTGGACAGAGGCCCATTTACACAAAACAAGCAGCTCTCTTTTGGCCAACAGTAAGCCTGAAACTGAAGAATAATACTAGCGGTAGCAGTAAAGATAATTTTCAAACTTCCTTGCCTTGTATGCCAAACTGAGCACCACCAAAATGCCAAAGTTAGTGCCAAAGGAATAGTGGAAAACAGAAAGCAAACAATCCATTGTCATTTGATAAGCATAAAATATTTAGAGTGAGGAAAAT